CATGAGTTTGAGTAAATGCCTGGAGTTGGTGATGGACAGGGAGGCCTGACGTGCTGCACTCCATGGGGTTGCAAAGAGTCAGACACGACTGAGCAACTGAACTGAACTGAACTGACTGGTAAGTAAAACATTAAACACATAGACATATTTTGATAATGGCAACAAAGATGATTGATTAAGGAGATACTTATGAACTAGACATTTACAACTATGGATCAAGCACTGATAGATAAAGACTTAGAACTAAGCAGCTGACACGTCTGCCAAATGCTGTCCTTTTTTTACTGTTTCCTTAACCAATCATACACTCCAAAGTGAAAGCATTAGTTGTTCAGTTGTGTCCAACTCCTTGTGACCACATGGACTGTAGCACAACAGGCTCCTCTGTCCATGGGATCTTCCGGGCAAGAACACTGGATAGGGTTGCCATTCCCTTCTCTAGGGGATATTCCTGAACCAGAAATCAAACCCAGGTCTCCTGCACTGCAGGCAGATTCTTTACCATCTGAGCCACCAGAGAGGCTACATTCCAAGGTGACAGCATGTATAAGAATTAGGTAGCAACAGGAAGCTCCTTTCATGAAAGGTGTAATACCAAAACCCAAAAATGTACCTCCAGGGTACATTTAGAAGCAAAGAATTTATTCGCACTACAGATCAAGTCATCTTTCTGTTGCTGCCTCTAAAGCTTGACAAAGGGTTTTAAAAGGGAAATTTCACAGCATCATTCATTCCTTGTGGAAGAAGTATGCTTCTGGAGGACAGTTGCCTTAGGAAGCATCACTACGAACAAAACTAGTGGAGGTGATGGAATACCAGTTGAGTCATTTCAAATCCTAAAACATGATGCTGGGAGAGTGCTGCACTCAATATGCTAGCAAATTTGGAAAACTCAGGAGTGGCCACAGGACTGGAAAAGGTCAGTTTTCATTCCAATCCCAAAGAAAGGCAATGCCAGAGAATGCTCAAACTACTTCACAATTGCACTCATCTCACACACTAGTAAAGTAATGTTTAAAGTTCTCCAAGCCAGGCTTCAGCAATACATGAACCGTGAAGTTTCAGGTGTTCAAGCTGGTTTTCGAAAAGGCAGAGGAACCAGAGATCAAATTGCCAACATCCAGTGGATCATCAAAAAAGAAAGAGAGTTCCAGAAAAATATCTATTTTTGCTTTATTGACTATGCCAAAGCCTTTGACTGTGTGGATAACAATAAACTGTGGAAAATTCTGAAAGAGATGGGAATATCAGACCACCTGACCTGAGCTTTGAGAAATCTGTATGCAGATCAGGAAGCAACAGTTAGAACTGGATATGGAACAACAGACTGGTTCCAAATAGGAAAAGGAGTACATCAAGGCTATATATTGTCACTCTGCTTATTTAACTTATATGCAGAGTACATAATGAGAAATGCTGGGTTGGAGGAAGCACAAGTTTGAATCAAGATTGCCAGGAGAAATATCAATAACCTCAGATATGCAGATGACACCACCCTTATGGCAGAAAGTGAAGAAGAAAAAAGCCTCTTGATGAAACTGAAAGAGGAGAGTGACAAAGTTTGCTTAAAGCTCAACATTCAGAAAACTAAGATCATGGCATCTGGTCCCATCACTTCATGGGAAATAGATGGGGAAACAGTGGAAACAGTGTCAGACTTCATTTTTCTGGGCTCCAAAATCACTGCAGATGGTGATTGCAACCATGAAATTAAAAGACGTTCATTCCTTGGAAGGAAAGCTATGACCAACCTAGACAGCATATTAAAAAGCAGAGACATTACATTGCCAACAAAGGTCTGTCTACTCAAGGCTATGGTTTTTCCAGTGGTCATGTATGGATGTGAGAGTTGGACTATAAAGAAAGCTGAGTGCCAAAAATTTGATGCTTTTGAACTGTGGTGTTGGAGAAGAATCTTGAGAGTCCCTTGGACTGCAACCAGTCCATCCTAAAGGAGATCAGTCCTGGGTGTTCATTGGAAGGACTGAGGTTGAAGCTGAAACTCCAATACTTTGGCCACCCGATGTGAAGAGCTGACTCACTGGAAAAGACCCTGATGCTGGGAAAGATTGAGGGTAGGAAGAGTAGGGGACGACAGAGTATGAGATGGTTGGATGGCATCACTGACTCAATGGACATGGGTTTGGGTGGACTCCGGGAGTTGGTGATGGGCAGGGAGGCATGGCGTGCTGCAGTTCATGGGGTCACAAAGAATTGGACATGGCTGAGTGACTGAACTGAACTGAACTGCAAAATATAAGGCTGAGGCATGAGAATAACAAAGTGACAGGTAAAGAGTAGAAGTCAAAGTTTACTTTTCCAATTAGCATTTAAGAACAAAAACAAAGGACTAAGGATGCTTGATGCTAAGCAAAGTGTTGGCATTTCAAAGTCACTGTCCTAAAATCATGGAATGTCACCAGGTCCCTCACAAAACTCTGCAGGAGAGGCCTGCTTCTGACTGAGTTGTTTTAGTTCAGGTGACCAGACACTGCTTGGAGCCTAGGCATCCCGCTGGTTGCTGATGCCCCACGTTTGTCCTCTGCCTTACCAAAGTTCACCCCTAAGTACATCCACCTCAGAGGAGTGAGGCCACAGGCACTGCTTCGGTGCTGTCAATCTGGTATCTACTCAGTGTACCCACTGGTGATCCCACCTGACAATGCATGCAGAGTAGGGAGGGAGGTGATATTCCAGGAACTGCTCAAGAAGTCAAAAGAGGCAGCTCCATTATCCCTGGACATAAGGAAGTTTTGAGTATTATTGACCATTTGTTACTGATTATTACCTGTTTAGTATATACTGACTGACCTGTTTAGTATAGACCACTGAAATAAAAGTTAACTCTGCTGCCTCTTAAGCACTGTGCAGGCCTTCTTTATCTATTTACTTCATCTCTAATCAGCAACACTGGGTACTGCAGGATCTTGTGACAGTAGTTAGCATCTGTAAAATGAGTAATATCAGCTTGTTTCCACAGGCTGGGAATTAGCTTGAAAACAACTTGAATTACTTAGGGCTTATTTGCAGCCAAAGATTTCTCTCTGAGGAATGGTTTTCCTTGTCATTTTATAAATCCACATCCTAAGATTTATTGAAATTCAGCAACAGATGGAAAAGAAAAAGAGAGAGGTAGAAAAAAGAGAGGAAAAAGGAAGGGAGGGAGGAAGGAGGAAAACAAAGCTAAGGAAGGAAATACTAAATTTCTGAGGAAGAAAGAACAAATCAAAATTGCAGCAAAGATACTAGACAGATATCCAAACACCAAAGCTTGGATCCTGCTCTGTGTGCTGAGTCCAGATCTACTATGTAAGAGACTTGCTAGTTGTTTATCTACAGTCTCTCAGCCCTGACCTAACTTTCTTTCTACGCTCTTTAGTGATGCAGAGGCTGGCTCTTTGCAAATCACATTTCAGAAACACTTTGCCCCTGATAGCTTATTTGGTAAAGAATCTGCCTGCAGTGCAGGAGACCTTGGTTCAATTCCTGGGCTGGGAAGATCCCGTGGAGAAGGGATAGGCTATCCATTCCAGGATTCTTGGGCTTCCCTTGTGGCTCAGTAGGTAAAGAATCAGCCTGCAATGCAGAAGACTTAGGTTCAATCCTAGGTTGGGAAAACCCCCTGGAGAAGGGAAAGGCTACCCCCTTCAGTATTCTGACCTAGAGAAGTCTATAGACTGTATAGTCCATGGGGTCACAAAGAGTCAGACATGACCCAGTTGCTTTCACTTTCACTTTTGGCCAGCCGGCTCTTTGTTAGATCCTACCAGTAGAGAGCAGTAGAGGGAGTCACAGAGCAAACAGACTGTCTGCTGCTGCTGCTAAATCGCTCCAGTCGTGTCCAGTTCTGTGCGACTCCATAGACGGCAGCCCACCAGGCTCCCCTGTCCCTGGGATTCTCCAGGCAAGAACACTGGAGTGGGTTGCCATTTCCTTCTCCAATGCATGAAGTGAAAAGTAAAAGTGAAGTTACTCAGTCGTGTCCAACTCTTAGCGACCCCATGGACCACAGCTTACCAGGCTCCTCCACCCATGGGATTTTCTAGGCAAGAGTACTGGAGTGGGGTGCTATTGACTTCTCCAGAAACAGACTGTCTAGTTTCTGCTAATCCTGCAGCATCACCTCAACAGTGGGACCTGACTCCAGATTCCAGGTTCCATTAGCACGTGGAGAACCAGCCCCATCCTGCTCCCTCACAAATATCACAGCACCTGTGCAGTGACTGCTCCGTGGAGGTCTGAGCACCGACTCTTTAGGGCCTCTCTTGGATACTTGGGTCTGGAGATCTGTCCAAGGACACAGTATCTGCCTGCTAAAATGATTAACCCTGTGTTTCTAATATATCTAGCCCTCCAATTGCTGTGTGACATATTTCCTTTATTAAGTGCTTTCTGTGAAAATACTTTGTTTTTCTCACCAGGCCCTTTCTTCTCATGGAATCCCCTCTGACAGCCACAGTTAAGAAATTTTTCAACTTTAGTCAACAGCATCCTGGTAATCTAAATAAAAGACTATTTTTTAAAAAATCTGCCATGCCATGTGGCTTGTGGGATCTTAGTTCTCCAACCAGGGATTAAACCTTGGCCCTTGGCAGTGAGAGCATGAAGTCCTGATCACTGGAGAGCCAGGGGATTCCCAAAGGTCTCATTTTTTGGTTATGGGAATATAAAAATAATGAAACAACTGTGGCATAGTAAAAAATGACCATGTTCTACTACTATGAAATATGGAGATTTATCTTGGATTTGGAATATTCTCATGGTTGGCCATCTTTAAGAAAAATGAGTGTAAATAAACTTTTAATATGAAAATATGAAATTATTGGATATATTATTTAATAGCACATTCTAAAGGTATAAGTTAAGTTATTATCAGGAATGGAGAAAAATTAAGAGAAAGTTAACTTATTAGAGGTTCCTATAAAGTTTAACAAGAAAAGATATATTGCAAAATTGAATGAAAATGGAAATAACTGAAATTCCACAGGTAAGGGTCTTACCATTATCATGTCACTGTCAATAACAGTGCTCAATCTGTGTGTGATGGTTACCACAATGCACTGGGCAAATTTCTCATGGATTGTTTTTTTAACTAACTCATCAGTTCTGGAATCAAAGAAGTTCCATTTAGTTAGTAAAGACAGGAAAAGCAGACTTAATACTTAAAAATATCATATATAATGATGATGATTTTTAAAAATCCATGCTTTATGACTTAATCTTGTTTCTAAAAAACTAAGTATAAAAAATCTGCTTACAAATTTAACAGTTTTCATAAAGCAATGGGAAATATTCTTCCCTTGAAAGCTTGAAATTATGAGAAGCTAGATTTAGGAATTTTGCTCTCTTAGGAAGTCTCATAACAATATTAATACTATATAACATGCTTTAGTTTCTTTCTTTGTTTTCTAGAATTAATCTTATCGAGAGATACCTTTTGGACAAAGAGAACATTTAGAAATATTTTTAAGCAGCATCAAGCATTTTCCATTTACCACAGTTAAAATAAAAATTCCAGGTTTCATGGACCTCAGTGCCTTACCTTGGATCCACATTTGATGTGGCTTTGTCAATAATCAATATCTGATTTTTCTTGAGAATAACCCTGGCAAGACACACCAGTTGTCTCTGTCCAACACTCAAATTTGATCCTGTTTCTGCTAAATCAGTATCCATTTTACCAGGAAGACCTTCGATGGTTTCTTTAAGTTGTACCTGGGATACAGAAAGAACATTTTCCTACACAAATTTCTGCTGAAGGAGATAAGCCTCTTATGTTAGAGTTTTGACGTCCTCAGGACTTCTTATGTATCTTACATGTACAGCCACCTGATGGGGAGAGTTCCTTTCCAGGAGCATTCACTGAGAAAGATGGTGGAGTCAACTCAGGACAGAAAGATCTCAGTGCCCGCCATCCCTGCCACAGGACATCCATCAGAAATCCCACCAGGGATTAGTTAAGGAAGTCTCTCAAGAAATGAAGCTATTTCTCCCAATCTGATCGAAACAGAAAAGTTAAAAGGATCTTTACAGTTTCCCAAAGCATATTTTGCCTAGGTGTTAGTACACTAAGGGAAAAAATTTTCTAACAAAATTATTGCAGGAAGTATGGTCCTCTAAAGATATAATCTTATCAGTACTTTACCATTTTGGAAGATCTAAAGGTTTAAAAAAATACAAATCCAAACAATGTCAAACTGTACCTCATATATTATTAAACCTGGAGCCTATTTTGGCTTTGGTTCCTTCCCGAATTTAATCCCATAGCTATTTTACCAGTCAACTGCATTTTCTTCAATGTCATAAATGTTTCAGTGAGGAAACTCAGGAAAAACAGGACACAATATAACATCTTATTTCCCCCAGACCATGGGTATGGGTGGTGTTTATATTAATCTACTGTCAAAAAATTGTAATCATTCTGTATAATAGGCTCTAGGTTTAGAGAAACAGACATAGAGAACAGACCTATGGACATGGGGGGAGAGGAAGAAGAAGAAGGAGAATTGTATGGAGAGAGTAACATAGAAGTTTACAATACCATATGTAAAATAGATAACCAGTGGGAATTTGCTGTATGACTCAGGGAACGCAAACAGGGGCTCTGTAACAGGCTGAAGGGTGGGAGAGAGGTTTGGGAGGGAGGGGACATGAGTGTACCTATGGCTGATTCTTGTTGATGTACGACAGAAAACCACAAAATTCTGTAAAGCAATTATCCTTCAATGAAAAAAAATTTAAAAATTGTAATCATAAGATTAAATAAACAAACTTTTAACTGCCAGAGATAATCTGAAGGTCACTGGTTGGTAGGAGTCATTTCAACAAATATTTATTTTGGATAAATATTGTGGAATAAGAACCAAACCCAGACTATGCTTGAAGTTAAAGAACAAAAAGTAAATATACTTCAGATTAAGAGACCAAGAGTGATGAGTGATGACCAGTGAGCAGGGACCCAGAATTAGTGTCAAATAACAAAACACTAGGGGTGAAAGTGGAGAAGGCATGGCACCCCACTCCAGTACTCTTGCCTGGAAAATTCCATGGATGGAGGAGCCTGGTAGGCTGCAGTCCATGGGGTCGCAAAGAGTCGGACATGACTGAGCGACTTCACTTTCATTTTTCACTGTCATGCATTCGAGAAGGAAACGGCAACCCACTCCAGTGTTCTTGCCTGGAGAATCCCAGGGACGGGGGAGCCTGGTGGGCTGCCATCTGCGGGGTTGCACAGAGTCGGACACGACTGAAGTGACTTAGCAGCAGCAGTAGCAGGGGTGAAAGGGCAACATTTTCATGGTATCCTAAATGCTGGAATATTTCTATGAATATGATCCTGAATTATGCTCCTGATGGAGTTCAAGCTCAGAAAGAGGGAATTCTCATTTAGGGATTAAGTATGGTATTGATATTTACAGAATCTAAAGGGTAAGATTTCGATTGTGATACAAGTGCTTACAGTGAAAATTATAAAATGGAAGATGTCAGCTCAGTCACCCCTTTTCCTCCATTACAAGCAAGAGGACTTAGTATTCTATCTATGAAACAAATTCATACATCTGCACCCAGTGATGGGACTAATCAAAGGTGCGACAGTGGCAAAGCTTTTATCACTTTTCCTTCTGAGCTGACATTAGTAATCTTTGTACATCAAATTGGTCTTTCATAAGACTGATGTCTTAACTTTAAAGAAATAATCTCACACTTGCTCTCAATTTGGATGATATCTCATCACTAATCTGTTTTTTTGGGGGGGTTGTTTTTTGGTTTTTTACTTTCCTTCAGGTTTTCCACTTTGGCCTACAAGGGCTGAGGCTTTTGTGAGGTGAAAATGTTTTCCAGTAAACACTGCTTTCTCAGACTGTGATAATGAGACTAACATGAAGATGAAATAATAAAGGTATGTACTTGCTAACATTGTCAGAGTATAAAATGAGTCAGTATGTATAGAATTTGTAGTGGTTGATACAAAGAAATCAACAGATATTGTCCATTATTAATAATGCTGTCAGTTGGCCTCTCTTCATGTTCTGCTTTATTTTCTTTTTCACATGTATCAGCACTGAGAATTTATTACACATGCATTGCCTGGTTTTCCCTCTTCTCCACAAGAGTTTAAGATAAATGGTAGAGACTTTATCAATTTTGATGACTGTGATAATTCTAGAATCTGCAACTATGCCTGTCTAAAGGTCTCTCAATAATATTTGTTGGATGTATGAATGAAGTTATAAGTGCATCTTATCTTGTGACATCTGTTCCTATAAATTAGGAAACAAATCCATACAGATAATTTATATATAATACTATTTTCTTACTAAATGGAAGTGTAAAAAAATATATTCTTCTAGCAATTAACTGGCTCCAAGATACCATAACATCATAATGTAAACTGTGGAAGGCATTTTAAAAGGTATAATTTAAGGAAAGCAGAGAGAATAATACTATTGAAAACTATATATCTCAGTACAAAATGCCTGAGATTGTTTTTGAGCTTGGGGAAGTAATAAGCTACAGCAAAACTGGAAGTAATAATCTGAATTTATAAGACAACCATTTCTATTATCATGATTTCAGAGTAACCTACTATATATACTGTATCTACTAGCCAGGTGCCAATGCCCCTCACAGGAGATTGTGAGATGTCAGATTGTCTCCATACTTTGTAGAACCTTCCTACTTTTCAAAAAGAAAGGCTGGTGTGGACTGGAAGAGACACTGAAGTGCAATCAACAGATGGAGAAGAGCTTTCACTAGAGCAGGACCAGCAGAAAAGGAAGTAAAGGGGGAGCCTGTTCACCTAATGCAAGGCCCCAGGAAATGGACATGTGAGCTGTCTCCACAGTCAGGATTGAATCATGTGATTCCTGATGCACAGGCTGCTGACACCCACATTTCTGAATCTTGGTTTTCTGTGTGATGAGACACACTTGTGTCCTAACAGAGATACTATCAACATCAAACATAACTGGGTTATTTCTTCACAGTTTTCATAAGGTATGCCCTCCTTAGTTGTCTATTCCAGGATCAAAGCTGTTTTCTTTTTTTAACAAAAGCAACATACTGCTGATTATTTTCAAGAGTTCTTGTTTGTTTTTTTGTTTTAACTAGAGGATAATTGTTTTATAATGTTGCAGTGGTCTCTGTGATACATCAACATGAATCAGTCACTATTTTAAATATATATGTATGTATATTAAATACATATATGTATATGTATATATATTCCCTTCTTTTCTAGAGTTTTATTTACCATGATTCCTTAACCTTTGAGAGATAAAGTGCTTCATCTTCAGACACTACTGATGTTATATTGGTAGAGCTGCCCTTGCTTTTTAGGTGTCCCAATCAGCATTAATTTCTGATGAACTTTCCTCAATTTACAGTAAACTCTTTATTATTAATTGAAAAAAAATTATTTTCAGAATACCTTGAAAAAAATAACTAAGATGAGATGGGCAGCATTCATAAAGCTGTCTCCCTTCTGAGTGTCCAAATCAGTCAAGGGAGAAGGAAGAGACAGAATTAAGGATTTAAAAATAAATTTAAAATCTTCTTTTACTTTTAGCTAAAGTTCTTAAAAAAGAAAATGCAGTGGTGCCCTCTTACTCTCAGGAAGACTCTGAGTTAGGGTTCACATTTTCCATTTGTTTGGCATCACTTATAAACCAATAACTGGGGGTGTTAACCCACCTAAAATTTGACCTCTTTGCTTGAGTGATACTTCTTAGACTGACAAATTATCTCATCACTCTGTTACTATAGGAAGTATTTCTTTATGACATTTGCATGTTTATCAATGAAAGATTTAGTAGATATTCTAAAAATCCGAATATCACATAAAAGTCATAAAGGAACAATTCCTAGAGAAATACAATGATGGGATGATTCCTCCCTAAGAGATAGCACTAAAGTAACAGGACCACTTCTGGAAGTGGCATATGGAAACCACACACTTCACTTTGTGAAATAAAGTCATGTTTATTTCTATTTACAGAAATTTCCAAATGTACTTTATATAAAGGTGGATCTTAGTATTGTCTACCACTTCCAGCACTTCATCATTATTAGAATTCAGAAGCTACTACGTTTTATTTTGATTTTGGCTCCTACAGATGAATTAAATATAAGTTAGAGCCAAGTTCTAAGATAGCTTTTCAAAGGATTTATCTCACAATTAAAGTTTCTTCACTGGAACAATGTGTTCTAAAATTCAATAGTAATTTTACTACTGGAGGATCTGTGAAGAGAGATCTCAAGCTTGGAAACAAATTGGAAAATAAGTTACCAATACTTCTAGTTTTTTGAAAGGTGTGTACTAATCTCACCATTAAATCTTTCATCTGAGTTCACTAGAAGTGGATCCTCCCATATGTCTTTATATTTGGTGGTTAACTGCTCTATCTCTTCTCTTCTAGAATTTCACTGTAGAAAGACTCACTGACTTAAATGAAATCAGAGGTCTACTGCTTCTCAAGAAGAAGGTGAAGCAATCGACATGATTTAAGAGCATAAAATCCTCACAGCTGCTAGAAAGCAGGGTGGCTGTGTGAAGACTCAGTGCTGACATCCTTCAAAAACCAGAAATATTGGCAGGAGATTGTCAGGCCTTCAAGCTGGCTTGCTCACAGTCAAATTCATCTGTGTATTACAGATTTGAGAGCTACCACTGAAAGGGTGACACTAAATGACAGAAAGTATCAATTCAAAACAACAACACTGTGTCATTGGGATTTGTGGGAAAAAAACAAAAACATTTTTGTTTTGAGAGAAATAAGCCATGCTTCTATGAACTGAAGAGATCAATCAGACATTAAGTATTTATTAAGTGCTTACTTTTTAAAAGCAGAAGACTGAGCTAAGTCCTATGAGGGTTTAAAATCTGTCTATAGTTGAGAGGCTGAGATATATTTTCTGCCATAAGTAGCTTAGAATCAATTTACAAAACTGGGGCAAATACACAAAATAACTTATATTAAAATATACCAACCAACAACACCTTAACACTCAAAATCCATTTCATAAAATAGTGAGGAGATTCAAAGAAGTTGTCCAAAGGGACACTAGATAAATAAAACATCTTCTAGAAATGAACTTAAAACTGTAAAAATTTTGCTAAAGCTCCAGGGTTCTATTACTTGCATTTACTGTGCAGCATTAAAATAGCAGTCAATATATAATTCTTATCACATTTCAACTGTATAATTCACCCTTATAAACACTTATGAAACATCACACTATTAGTAGTATGATCTCATTTATCTTTCAGTTAATAATGAAAAGCTATTATTATCTTCACTTAGTAACTGTTCCCTAATACCAGAGTAATAAAATGAATATTACAGGGGAATTAGAGTAATTAATTTACTAGGTCACCAATAGAATTTGAACCCATAATTTAAAAATCTAGTTTAGTGCTCTGCTATAGTCAAAGCTATGATCTTCCCAGTGGTCACGTATGGTTGTGAGAGCTGGACACAGAAGGTAGAGCACCAAAGAATTGATGCCTCTGAACTGTGGTACTAGAGAAGACTCCTTGGACAGCAAGGAGATCAAACTAGTCAATCTTAAGGAAAATCAACCCTGAATACTCATTGGAAGGACTGATGCTGAAGACGAAGCTCCAATATTTTGGTCACCTGATGCAAACAGCCAACTCATTGGAAAAGTCCCTGATACTGGGCAAGATTGAGAGCAGAAGAGGGCATCAGAGGGTGAGATGGCTGGATAGCATCACTGATGCAATGGACATGAACTTGGACAAACTTTGGAAGATAGTGAAGGACAGGGAGGCCTAGCATGCTGCAGTCCATGAAGTCCCAAAGAGTCAAACATGGCTGTGGAACTGAACACAACACAACACAAAGTTAAGGTAATGTGTCTAGTTGCTTTGGATTCTAGGGGAAAAGCTACAGTGGAAATATGAAGCATTGTATTCTTGCTTTTCATCATCATCAATACACAGGTCATCAATGGTCTGCTAGGAGGTAAACAAAGTCAGTTACATGTATAAGCTCCCCTTTAATTGCCTGCAGTGCTATAAATGTACACATACATATACTGATGCTAACAAAATAATGACATTTAATAAATTACCTCTTCTAAGACATTCCACAGTTCCTTTTCTGTATGTTCATTAAAAGGATCCAGATTTTTCCTCATTGTTCCCGTGAATAAAACAGGTTCCTAAATAACCCAAAATAGTAAATGTTATTAGTCAACTTTATCCGTTTTATTCCAGTACTTACAGAATTAAAATGAACAAAATCAAAATTCACTGTAATCTTTAATAATAAGGTTGAAAATACCTGTTTACAAAAACAGTATCTCTAAAATAATTTTCAGTTGTATAAACTGCTGCAAAATACCCTCTGGACCATTAAACACTAACAAAAGAAAGTGCTGAGGTGTGTCACCTTAAGAAAAACCTGAAGAGTAGAAAGGAAGATTTGATTTTTTTCAATGCCTCACTGGTAATACCTACTTAATTAAAAAAATGAGGATATAATTATTTGATAAATTTTACAACAGCACTAGAAAAATTGTCAATTCTGGTGTGACACTAGGAAATACCAAGAGCGTGATTAGTTGAGGTTTGAAAGGGTTAATAGTCAGGCAGGTATGGAGGCCAGGGTCTCCAAAGATGGGGAGAAGGCAAAAAGGCACATTCCGAGGGAGGAGCTAAGATGGTGGAGGAGTAGGATGGTGAGACCACTTTCTCCCCTACAAATTCAATGAAAGATCATTTGAATGCTGAGCAAACTCCACAAAACAACTTCTGACTGCTAGCAAAGGACATCAGGCACCCAAAAAAGCAGCCCATTGTCTTCGAAAGGAGGTAGGACAAAATATAAAAGATAAAAAGAGAGACAAAAGAGTTAGAGACGGAGATACATCCCAGGAAGGGAGTCTTAATAGAGGAAGTTTCCAAACACGAGGAAACCCTCTCACCGGCAGGTCTGGGGGAAGTTTTCGAATCTCTGAGGGCAACCTAACTGGGAGGAAAAATAAATAAAACCCACAGATTACATGCCTAAAAGCAACTCCCAGCAGAAAAGTACCCCCAGACTCCCGCATCTGCCACCAGCAAGTGAGGGCTGAATGGAGAGGAGCGGGCAGCATTGCTTAGGAACAAAGGACTGAGCGAATACCAGAGAAGAGCTAGCTGGCTGTGGACTGGCCCATCCCCTGCTGGAGGCAGGAGGCATGGGGGAGGGGAAAGGGGCAAACTCAGCCCCAGAGATGGCATCCCCTACCAAATGGCAAACAGGCTTCCAGTCTCTAACCAAAGACTTCCTGAGATTCTGGATGGTTGACATCCGCCAGGAGGGTCGCAGCCAGAAATCAGCTCACAAGGCGCACCAGACCAGCACTCCTGGAAACTGAGGCTGGAACCATGGAGGCGATAAGGCGCACTGCACCCAGGGAGAGTGCGCTGGTCAAGATCCTGGTTCCCTGAGCTGTTCCAACTGGGAAAGCACAAAACGCAGGCCCAACGAAGTCTGCGCCATTGTGGAGTACCTGAAAACCTGAACCTGAGCAGCTTAGGCCTGGGAAGTGCACACATCTCAGGGCCCGCTACCTGTAGAGCAACCCGGAGCCTGAGCAGTGTAGACGGGGGAAGCACACATGTCATCAGTGGGGGCAAACCCAGTGTGGCTGGAACACTGTGAGTGCTCCCCACACACGCCAGTGATATTTGTTTGCAGTGCCCCTCCCTCCCCACAGCATGACTGAAGGAGCGAATCTAAACAAGAGACCACCTCCGCCCACTTGTGTCAGGGCAGAAATTAGACACTGAAGAGGCCTGCAAACAGAAGCCAAATAAGCAAAGGGAACCACTTTAGAAGGGATAGGTACAACAGATTAAAATCCCTGTAGTTAACACCAACTACACTGGAAGGGGCCTATAGATATTGAGAAGTGTAAACTGGAACAAAAAGCTATCTGAAACTATACCAAACCCACATTGCCCACAACAGCTCCAGAGAAATTCCTAGATATATTTTTACTATTATTAATTTTTTTTAATTAGAAAAAAAAATTTTTTTCTCTTTTCTTTTTTTTAAAGTCCTCTATTGCTCCTCTATTACTCCTTAATTTTCATTTTTATAACCCACTATAACCTTGCAAAAAAAAAAAGGACCCTATTCTTAAAGCAAACTTCATATATTTCTTAAATTATTTTGTGGGTTTTTTTAATATTGTATTTTTAAGAGTCTAACCGCTACTCTAGATTTTTAATCTTTGTTTTTCAGTATTTGATATCAATTTTGGACATTTAAGAATCCAACCTTTAGTACCCATTTTTACTCAGGAGTGGGATTACTGGTTTGATTACTCTCTCCCCCTTTTGACTCTCCTTTTTCTCCCCCAGATCACCTCTATTTTCTCCCTCCCCCTTAGCTTCTCAATCCAATTCTGTGAATATCTGTTCTGGGCTGCAGAGAACACTTAGGGAACAGAGTACTGCCTAGATCTGTCTCTCTTCTCTTGACTCCCCCCTTTTCTCCTCCTGCTCACCTCTATCTCCTTCCTCCCTTTCCTCTTCTTCGTGTAACTCTACGAACCTCTCAGGGTTTCCCTCACTGTGGAGAATCCTTTCACCATTAACCTAGAAGTTTTATTATCAGTGTTGTATGGATGGAGAAGTCTTGAGGGTACTGGAAGAATAAGACTGAAATCCAGAGGCAAGAGGCTTAAGACCAAAACCTGAGAACACCAGAGAACTCTTGACTACAGGGAACATTAATTAATAAGAGATCATCCAAAAGCCTCCATACCTACACTGAAACCAACCACCATCCAAGAGTCAATAAGTTCCAGAGCAAGACAAACCAGGCAAATTCTCCAGCAATGCAGGAATGTAGCCCTGAGTGTCAATATACAGACTGCACAAAGTCACACCAAACCCACAGACACATCTCAAAACTCACTACTGGACACTCCATTGCACTCCAGAGAGAAGAAATCCAGCTCCACCAACCAGAACACCAACGCAAGCTTCCCTAACCAGGAAACCTTGACAAGCCAATCGTCCAACATGAAAAGGCAGAGAAATATCCAGCAGGTAAAGGAACATGAAAAATGCCCACCAAGACAAACAAAAGAGGAGGAGAAAGGGAATCTACATGAAAAAGAATTTAGAACAATGATAATAAAAATGATCCAAAATCTTGAAAACAAAATAGAGTTACAGATAAACAGACTGCAGACAAAGACTGAGAAAATGCAAGAAATGTTTAACAAGGCCCCAGAAGAAATAAAAAAGGGTCAATTAAAGATGAATAATTCAGTAAATGAGATCAAAAACACTCTGGAGGGAACCAACAGTAGAATAATGGAGGCAGAGGATAGGATAAGTGAGGTAGAAGATAAAATGGTGGAAATAAATGAAGCAGAGAGGAAAAAAGAAAAAAGAATCAAAAGAAATGAGGACAACCTCAGGGACCTCTGGGACAACAGGAAACGCCCCAACATTCATAGGAGTCCCAGAAGAAGACAAAAAGAAAGGCCATGAGAAAATACTCGAGGAATAATAGCTGAAAACTTCCCTAAAATGGGGAAGGAAATAGTAATACAAGTCCAAAAATCCCAGAGAGTCCCAAACAGGATAAACCCAAGGCGAAACACACCAAGACACATTTTAATCAAATTAACAAAGATCAAACACAAAGAACAAATATTAAAAGCAGCAAGGGAGAAACAGCATATAACACACAAGAGGATTCCCATAAGGATAACAGCTGATCTTTCAATAGAAACTGTTCAGGCCAGAAGGGAATGGCAAGACATACTTAAAGTAATGAAAGAAAATAACCTACAACCCAGATTACTGTACCCAGCAAGGATATCATTCAGATATGAAGGAGAATTCAAAGCTTTACAGACAAGCAAAAGCTGAGAGAATTCAGCACCACCAAACCAGCTCTTCAACAAATGCTAAAGGATCTTCTCTAGACAGGAAACACAGAAAGGTTGTATGAACGTGAACCCAAAACAACAAAGCAAATGGCAATGGGACAATTCTTATAAAAAATTACCTTAAATGTAAATGGGCTGAATGCCCCAACCAAAAGATAAAGACTGGTTGAATGGATACAAAAGCAAGACCCCTATATATGCCATCTACAAGAGACCCACCTCAAACCAAGGGACATACACAGACTGAAAGTGAAAGGCTGGAAAAAAAATATTTCATGCAAATGGAGACCAAAAGAAAGCAGGAGTTGCAATACTCATATCAGATAAAATAGACTTTCAAATAAAGGCTGTGAAAAGAGACAAAGATGGACACTACATAATGATCAAAGGATCAATCCAAGAAGAAAATATAGCAATTATAAATATATATGCACCCAACATAGGAGCACCACAATATGTAAGGCAAATGCTAACAAGAATGAAAGGGGAAATTAACAATAACACAATAATAGTGGGAAACTTTTAATACCCCACTTACATCTATGGATAGATCAACTAAACAGAAAATTAACAAGGAAACACAAACTTTAAATGACACAATGGACCAGCTAATTGATATCTATAGGACATTTACAGAAAATTAACAAGGAAACACAAACTTTAAATGACACAATGGTCCAGCTAGACCTAATTGATACCTATAGGACATTTCACCCTAAAACAATCAATTTCACCTTTTTCTCAAGTGCACACAGAACCTTCTCCAGAACAGATCACATCCTGGGCCATAAATCTAGCCGTGGTAAATTCAAAAAAATTGAAATCACTCCAGTCATCTTTTCTGACCACAATGCAGTAAGATTAGATCTCTATTACAGAAAAAAAAAAACTATTAAAAATTCCAACATATGGAGGCTAAATAACACGCTTCTGAATAACCAACAAATCATAGAAAAAACTCAAAAAAGAAATCAAAATATGCATAGAAGCAATTGAAAATGAAAACACAACAACCCCAAACCTATGGGACACTGTAAAAGCAGTGCTGAGGGGAAGGTTCATAGCACTACAGGCTTACCTCAAGAAACAAGAAAAAAGTCAAATAAATAACCTAACTCTACACCTAAAGCAACTGGAGAAGGAAGAAATGAAGAACCCCAGGGTTAGGAGAAGGAAAGAAACCTTAAAAATTAGGGCAGAAATAAATGTAAAAGAAACAAAAGAGACCACAGCAAAAATCAACAAAGCTAAAAGCTGGTTTT